ACATATATATATATATATATACATGTTTGGCACTGTCGGTTGCGATGAGGAAACGAGATGCACAACTACATGTTATAGCAATCCCATATACAAACGTTCACTCCAAATGGCTTCAGGAACGGTAAAAATGTGTATTTTTGTTGAAATATGATACGCGAAATTTTTCACGATTACAATAACTTCCTTTGCTTCTTACAAAGAAGTAAAAAATAGGTCTCTTCCAATTCTAAGTTATAGCTGTAAGAATCAGTGCTTGATATTTATAAATCTTTCTGTTCAAATGCAAGGTCAAAAAAGCAGCTGTTAATATTTACCTTTCTATAAAACAGTGAGTACGTATTCTTGAAATTCCTAGTTCACTGATCTTAACAGGAAAGCCTTCGAAATTTTATGATTCAATATATGAAATAGAGATGAATTTCTCACCATATATTTAATGAAAGAAAAAAGTTTAGAGAATATTATAGTTTAGAGAAGTTTGTAAGGTTTATGTAACTAATTGGAAAATATTCTAATTTGTTTGAATTAACAGTTCGCCCACTACATGCGCCAAATGTACCAGTTTGAAAGTTTTCTTATCTGTAAAATCAGCTTTCAGGTAAATAGCCGAATTTAAAAAAAAAGTGTATCTCTGATAGCAAAAAGGAAACATATTCTTCTGGTTAAAATGCTATCTTTTTTATTATTTTATTATGATTTTGCGAAAATAAGATTTTGTGCTTATTTTGTTATCTAAAGTAATTATTCTGCAAAACATATATATATATCTTTTTATAAAGTTTTTCTCTTAATTTTAAATTGCCGTTTCTTTTTCAACTGCATTCAATTAGATTTCATGAAAAAATTTGAGTAAAGTGCTATGATGCATAAAAGAAGAAATATTGTTTGCATTAGTTTTTTTCTGTGTTAAAATTGTTTTTATAGTGATTAAACTAAATTAAATTCATAGATATATGGTATCATAACGTTAATGAAATTAAACACACATATTTAAATATTTATATTAATTAGAATGATTTAATAGAAATCATTTAATATTTTCTTCAATTTGGATACTTAGATAAAATAATCTTTAAATTCGGTACCTGTTATGTTTAAAATCGCTATGGAAATCGCAGATAGTTTAGCAGTTTATGGGTTTTCTGTGAATATACCATCGAGACGTGGTAGACAGCAACCAGTTCTAAAACGTCAGAAGCTCCTTGAGGTTTCTGTATGGGAAGTAAGATATAACCACACTGTGGACACTGTCCAATACTCAAACATGGGTACGAATAGCGTTGTAATTTGGAAACTTGTGAAGGACATTCCAGAGTCCTGTGTAAAAACTGCAAAGCACACTTTAACATTTTTTATTTAAAAAAAAATAAAAGTGTTAAATTTACAATGAATCTTAATAATATTGTAATATATATTTATATTTTTATGATATTTTAGCTTGAGATCTGAAGGCGGTAATTACCACGACATTTTAATATTTATAACCCAAGTAGGTACATGTCAGTATGTTGCAAAAGAGTTCTAACATCTGTAAGGAATATTTTATACACTATGCTTTGGCGTGGCTAAAAAGATCCAGAGCTTAAAGGGTTAAGGCTCCATAACACTAACAGTTATGATACACGCCTATCTTAACTTACAGTTAACATTTTAATCAAGATTACTAAACGCAATAGTAGTAAGCAATAGCAGTAAATGAGATATATCCCGCCAGAGCTTTCGAGGGATGCTTTTGTGAGAGTTCGGAAGGACAAGAATTAAAACGTATTCCCCGCAACTAGGCCGTGCCACAAAGTGCTAGCTCGGCTATAAAATTTCAGGAGCTTTATAAATTTGTTATCGTAGATAATTAATAAAATATTTAATATTTGAAGCACTAAATGATTAAAACGCACTGTATTAAGGTCCATTTATAGCTGCATGAAACGTGGAATGAAGTGCATTTTCAGAACTGGAATTCCATTGCTAATGTTTGCTAATTTTTACGTGTGAGTATACGTAAAGAATGTAGAATTGGCAGTGGAATATGAAGCATGGAAATGAAATATACAGGGTGTCCCGTAAAAGTTGCGACAAACTTCTGGAGAAGTAGGGCACATCATAAGGATTAAGAATTGCATAGGAACCCATGCCCAGAAACATCACTGTACGCCGCCAGGGAGTGCTGTACAGGAGAGTAGTAGTGAAAAGTGAGGATTGCCTTATTCGAGCGGCAGGTACCATACGAAGAGCATGGAACGCTGTACGAACCGGAAGCTTGCAAACATGCACTTAGTGTATGGAATACCTGAGGGTAATGGACGAACCACAGCCCGCATATATCGAGAACGCTTGTCCGACAGACAATCAACCATATCACACTTTGTTTGCACGTCTACATCAAAATTTGTGTGACTACGGGTCATTAAGAAGTGGACTCATTTTGAACTGAATGTTCGTAGCCATTTGAACAGATCATTCCCGCATCAATGAATTGGTCATGGTGGACCAGTTCCCTGGCCGCCACGCTCACCGGATTTATCGAGCCTTGATTTCTTTTTGTGGAAAGCCATCAAAAGTATCGTTTATCACGATCCTGTTGTGTCTGAAACGGATCTCGTGGCAACACTCGCCTGCGCAGCTTCTAGAACCAAAGAAACTCCCGGTGTGTTTGAACATGTCCAGCAATAAATGGTTCTTCGGTGTCAGGCATGTTTGGCGTCTGATGGTGCAAACTTCGAACATCTGTGTAACATTCAAGCTGTCTTACACCATTTGTATTCATGTCCAATAAATGTTTCAAATTAATTACTCTTGTTTCTTTTCCCATCTTCTACCTTTGCTACCACTTACCCCTGACATTTCCGGGCATGGGCTCCTGTGCAATTCTAAATCCTTATGATGTGCCCTTCCTCCCCCAGAAGTTTGTCGCAATAGCAACATTTACGGGTACCCTGTATATAGACGTATCTGTAATGCAGATGTAATAATTTTATTTTATGAGAATTAATTTTAATGACTAGTAAGAAAAAAAAAATCTGAAATGTTTCAGATTTTAAATTACATCCAAAGGGGCGTTTTTTAACATTTTGTGTGTTACCTTTCTTTATTAAATATCATGTTCCTCGCACTTAAACCATAAGATCCAGTGCAACAGCAATATCGCAAAATAGTTTTAAAACGAGCATATCTTTAGAATTTCCGATACAGAGACTCACGCGCTGGAGATAAAAATGTTTTTTCTGCACAACGTTGCCATTGCTCGCTTTGAAATCCTTGAGTTTGTTAATCAAAAATTCGTCAAAGTTTTAAAAAATAGGAAATCGATCATAAAACAAATTTCAAATTTCAAATTTGGTCTTCCACATGCTCATATTCGTTGGAGGATTACGTTATTCAAAATTCGATGACTCTATGTACCGTTATTTTATGACAATGTGAGAAATATACATACATTTACGCAGATTTTCATTATTTAATTTCTTCAAATATAATGCAGGACTCTAACATTTTATGGCAACAGTTTGAAAAGTGAACCGACATTTATCCGTCCGACGCAAAATGCCAAAACGAAACTTATAGTCCTTCGGGATTCAAATCCCTTTGGACTAAAAAAAAAAAAAGGAATGTTAACAAAAGTATTTAATATTTTATTTAACTCAAGCCGTTAAAACAGGTAAACAATGATATTATTAAATTTATTCTCATTCTTAGGAGCTTTGGGGTGCCGATTATAAAAATCGTTTTTTTCTATCACCTATGCTTTTTATAATATGAAATAAATTTTATTCATATTTACCGTTATTATTGCTCTCTGTCATTTAATTCTTAAGGTATTCTGCGTAATGGAAAAGTTTTATAAAAACGACCTACTACGGTATCGGTAATCAGCTTTCATGTTCGCCGAAAATATCGCGGAGAAAACAATGCAGAGGGAAAACGTCGTTATACGAAACATTGTGCAAGAAAAGAAGCCAAGAGAAAACTTCGCAGTTCTAAAACATCGTGGTACAATATAAACCGGTTAAAAAATTTCGCAGTTTTAAAAGTCTTGGTAGAAAATATCGTGTTAAAAATAAGACACCTACAAATCATCACATGGTGATAACATCGCAGTTATATGTTTTCATACTTCAAAAGCTTTAAATGCATATCCGCACTACCGATCTAACATTATAAAAGAGATTATTACTAATCCAGTTTTATGCAAGAAGATTAATTAAATAATTATCTTTAAAAGTTAACTACATAAGTTTAAAATCCTAGTAAGTTTGAAATTCTATTAACTGTTATACGTGTAGCATTAATTTTCTTCTCATTTCCAGTTTTTGAATGCTTAAGTTAGCTAATTGCTTTTTCAGTAAAAAATTATCAGTTAATTCAACAATATGAAATATTAGAACACAAACATTTCTTCATTCCTTCTTGCGCTCGAACCATTACGCAAATATACATTTAAAATTTGTAAAGCCTGAAAATACAAGTCTGCGATGCTATTACCACGCAATAGTTTCTAAGTGCTTTATATTTTACCACGACACTTTTAGAACGATGTTTTAAACCTGCGAAGTTACCGATTTGTTTTTTATGTCGATGTTTTATGCCACGATGGTCTAAAGCTGCGATGTTTTTTGCTTGTAACTTCAACTTTTTCTGTAAATTAGACAAGAAGAAAATTTGTTGCGTATTGTTGCATCATAAATAAGTACAAAAATCAATTTAAAAGATGATTGTCTAGATTACAAATCTTTAAAAAATGTTGGCACACCTGTACTTTGCGTCAAAATGCAGACTTAGAATACATTTATTAATCTAAGTATATGAATCTCCAGTGAAAATTAATTAATTGTGTTATACTTCTGCGTAAATATTCTTTATATTTTTGCGGAATATTTAATATATTTTGTAAAATTATCAATAACATAAAATCATGTTTTATTATAAAAATATCATATCATGTTATAAACAATGCGGTTAAAGGTATCTAACGTAGTTTTGATGTTTTGTTGTTTACTTTGTAGAAAGAAACATATTTGTGCACAGCTTTCAAGATGCCAAGATCTGAGTTTGAATATATAGGTAAGAAGAACTTTAAGTTTTCCCACAAATTTAACATGCACACATTCATTTTAAAAATATTTTCTGTGCTTTCTGCTGCGTTATTACAGAACTCAGTTTTTTAAAATCTATTTGCACAGAAATCGAATTTACGTATTATCACAACCATCTTAGTAGGAATCGCCAAATTTTTAGAAGCCCCTGAACTTTGGCAACCATGCACATATCAGTTCTTTAGACAAGCATATCCATTATCAGCTGCAATCCGAAAGTTCACAGAATCACCTTTTTATTCTGTAAAATATGGCCAAGGTGGTTGTGGTAATACGTGAGTATCCAGAAATTTACCTATATATCATTTTACTAACAAATGTAATATAAATACATAACAACTATTGGGTTAGATCAGTTTATAAATTGAAATGTCTAATATCTATTTTATTATTAAAATTAAATTATTAATATAAAAGGCCTTAACTGATACATGCTCTACTTTACGTGAGGAGCAGCATTTAAAATATTATCGAAATTTCTAAATTAAGGTTTCAATTTTAAAATATTAGCCAAATTTCTGTTAGTGTGCACTGTCTGAATTAATGAGGATTAAGAGAGAACTGGTTTCTGAATTTTTTATGAGACAGTCTGTTAGATTACCATTTTACTTCTAGGGTAGTTAACGGAAAATATATACTATGATATATTTTTCAATGGTGACGTATGTGAAGAAGCAAAATTATTCCTTTACTTGTTATGTAATAAATCCAAAATTACTTGAAAACTCTCTTAAAACCAAAACTGTCACAACCGAAAAGCATACTGGATGTTGCACGAAGATCTTTTCCTAACTTTAACTGATACAAAATTACAAAGCCTTGTAACAACACCACATCTACCAAAAATAAGTTTTTCTTTTTTGCATTAGCTCCGATGGTATTTATTTATCGTAAAGCCTAAAGAGTCATTTAGGCCTGATGGTGCAGTGGCTAGAGCGTCACGCAGCAGCCCTACAGGTTCGGGGTTGGATCCCCGAGCTGGGCAAGGTTGACTCAGACTTTCATCTCTTGGGTGAGTTGATAAAATAAGTACCAAGTTCGCTTGGGGACTAAACACCGGGGGTCCTGCGACCTAAAGTTGACCACTTGTTCAGGGCATATGCTCACGGGCCCTGTGGTCCACAGTCAGGAAAGCAGATATCGGAGCACTGCATGCCATGGCCCTTTAGGGCTGTTGTGGCACTTATTTAGTCTATAGAGTCATTATGTTATTTTGAAGCAGGAGATATAAAAAATTAGCAATGGTCCCCCCAGGACCCGAATCTGGAACTCTTGAACACGCGCCGAGTGTGCCGAGTGTACCCCACGAAGGTATGCTGGACAGTTCATACTTTCCCTTTTCCTTAGGGGACCCAATCGCCAAATCCTGGTGCTGCCCGATTACCCTTCCCCATGTTTTTTAGTTCGGGCCCCCACACGTAGATTCATCAGGTTATTTTGAAGAAGGAGACATGAATAATGAGCAATGCCCTCTCCGGGACTTGAACCGGACCCTTCGAATGCGCGCCGAGTGTGCTAGGCGCTACTTCACGAGTACATGGTGAAAGAAGGGAGAAAATGCCGTAGAGCCCTCCTAAAATAATGATTTACTTTTAAATCTTTCTGTTCGGAATATTTCTGTAAAGATTCCTTAGCTGATGAAAAACGTTATAAAAAACTGAAAGAAGGGAAATGCATCATGAGCAATAGTTTGATGAATGTTCGAAATTTTGAGTGATTTTCTCAGTATATTTTTTTAATTATATGGCTCATTTTCTTTTTCTGTAATTTTCCTATTTATTTATTTACTCATTTATTAGTATTGGTTTATAGAACCTGTTTGATCCTTAATATCAGAACTTTTGCAGAATTCATAATTTTCGTCACGCCAGTAATTTTAAACGCTCTGGTTAATTCTCTAACGATGTTGTCGTCCTCTTTTTTTTAGAATTCTTTTGCTCAGAGTTTTGAAAGAAAGAGTTCAACTGAATAATTTAATGGTTATAAAATGCTCCTAGCTTTCCATGTATTAGGACCATATACAGTAGAATTCCAATTATCCGAATCAATTGGAACCAGACCCTATTCGGATAATGAAAAATTCGTATAATCGGACTTTTTCCAAAGAAAGGGCCTACGTACAGTTTAATTAATTACTATATGTACTGTATGTTGAAAATGGGAGAAAAAATATTTTAAAGAAAGACAGGTTTTAATTAATCAAAATGAAAAGGTGTTATATAGCGCACTGCACAGTACTTACGAGTGATGAAAGTCATTACTTGCTGAACATCTCAGTCAAAGTAAGCTGTTTGATGGGCACAGTGTCTGCACTTAAAATTTCTTAGCCAGCCGTTACTTGCTTTAAAGGATGAACAACCAAGCTTTTGAGCTAAGATCTTAGATTTTTCACAAAGAATCGGCCCCGAAATTGGGTTTCCCATCGACCGTTACTGCAAAAACCACTTGAAAAGGACATCTTTTAAATTTTTGTTTGTTGTTGCATTGATGTTCTTGAAGAACTTCTATCATTGTTTTTAAGCAGTGACCACGAAGTTTAAAAGTGTAGATTTGCTCCTTTTAATGTCTGAAATCGTTGATTGTCCAATACTACGTTTTCGTCTTAATTTTTTTTTAACTCTGAAAGCGATTCGGATAATTGGAGTTGTACTGTACATACTTAGAATCTGCGCTGTATATTCTGGGAAAGAAATCGCATGTCAACGGTACAGAGTATTCCTTTAAATTAGGTATTTCCAAGCTTTTTCTTGCATCAACCTCTTTTAAAGGGATGGTTTTCTTCATTAATTCCCTTACAACATTTTTATAATATCCAGTAATCATAATACAAATAACTGCACATAAATAGCCTAAAAGTAACAATTTCATTAAGAATAGGAGCAAAAGACTTAAAAAATGGTTTACTATGTTTACGTTTAATTATTTTTTGTATTATTATTATTTTAAGTTTTACAAATATAAACAGATTTTTAAAAATATAATCACAGATTCTAATTGCACAACAGTTCGATTTTAGTTAAACTGATGTATTGGCGCATTTTAAAAAAAATATTTGGTGTAAAATTGTTTAATTTAGATTTCAAATCATACCGTTCAAAAATATTCAACCTGTTTCCTGTTTTCCATCTTAGTTTTGCGTTATTCGTATTTTTGTTATTGTGTTTCCTCGTGTTCTTGCGTATTACCTCCTTATATTGCATATATCGAATAAAAAATATATACATTAAAAATATTATTGATTTAAAAATGTTTTAGATAATTTTAGGGTATGTTTTCCCTTATATTTATTTTATATGATTTCTTTCTTTATCATATAATGCAGCTTTATTTCAATAAATAATTAATAGGGGGACCGTAAGGTAATGTCGCTTTCTTACATTAAATTCAAATGAATAAATTTGTAACAAGTTTTTATTTTTAATCAATAATATAATCACCCCCGTTATCAGAAACCTTTTGCCATCTAGTGCGCCGATTTCAATCCCAGACCGATAAAAATCAATAGGTTTTTGAGTAAAATATCTCGAGATGGCATTTTGGACATCATCCAAATTTTCAAATTTTTTGTTACTAAGAAAATGCTGTAGGGATCGGAAAAAATGAAAATCGGAGGGGGCGATATCGGGCGAATATGGTGGGTGAGGTAGTGCCTCCCACCCCAATTCATTATATTTTTCCAGTGTTCGTCTTGCACAGTGCGGTTTTGCATTGTCATGTTGCAGAATGACGCCTTTTTCGTTGACAATCGTCGGATATTTTTCGATTAAGGATTGCTTCACTAGATTCAATTGTTCACAATAACAGTTTGTCCAGGTTTCAGCAATTCAAAATGAACAATTCCGCGAATACTCCATCAAACACCCAGAAGCATCTTTTCGGGATGTAAACCCTTTGTAACCTCTATTAAAACTGCCTTTTGAGTTTTGGATTATCATATAGGACTTATTTTTTTGTCTCCACTAATCAAACGATCAAAAAACGGTTCTGTATGGTGCCGTTGAAGCAATACGTTGCATGGGGTGGATAGGTTGGCTTTGTCTTTTGCTTTACTTATTTTTCCATTCTGCTTTAAATGTTCTTGGATGGTCGACCAAGGTTGGTTAAGAGTGTTTGACATGGATTTGCTTCCACTTTTGCCCTTAGCATATTGTTGTCGACATGCGCAGAAACGACATTACTTTCCGGTCCCCCTATTAAATATCACTATAACATTTTTTTTTTTTTGTAATCAATGCGATCTTTGTTAGTAAGATTAATTTGCCGGCACATATTCGGCTATCGACACCTATTTCTGATTATACTCCTGATCATTATTGATCCTTTGTAAAATTTCATCAATTCCCAGGGATCAATACCTAACTCGATGGGAAACTCTGCTTTGAACTTTTCACTCGCTGCTTTTATTAATAATTGTACAAGTTTTATTATATTTATTTATTTATTTGAAATAAATGATGTATTTGCGAGTTTCAGGGCATGACGTCCACGCTATGTTTTCTTCGTATTCAAAGCCCCGAACTAAATGCAACAGAGCAGAAATATGACAAACGCCCAACGTTTTCAATGTTATCTATTTATTAATCGTTCTTCATCTTTGATATATGTGAACGGTTTTAAATCTTTTCTTTTTCTTTTTCAAACAAAAGTCAAAGCATTGTTGCGTTTTAAAGCTAAATTCGTCGATTTATTTGAATTTCAAGCACGTGTTCTTGTGTTGTTGTTGTAGTTACGTATGCTCACTTGTCTGACAGCAACGTCAGGCCAAGCCCACGAAATTTCTCGTGGCAGAGATCGCTCCCAATTTTGATGGAGAGCACCCCGGGTGAGACGGAGAAGAAGGTCTCTCACAGCTTTCCCCTTCCACCAAACCACACGACAGGACTTTCGGCTCACCGCATATTTAGAGTGCCGTCATGCTGCACTAACACTATACACTTACAAACACCATGCCTTCTCCGGAATTCGAAC